AACACCAGCCGCTATTCCGGAAATGCTATGCTGCTCCCGCTCGGGCATAAGTCCTTATTCCGGAACACTGTTCCGGAAAAGAGCCAGTGTAGACAGCCTAGTAGTCTTTTCTGGAAAAAAGCCCCGATCGCGAAAATGACGATCGGGGCTCTTTTCCGGAAAAGCGCGTCTATATTGGCCACAGATGCTTTTCCGGAAAAAGGGCTTTTCCGGAAAAGCAGCCTGCCAATGTAGATGCTCTTTTTCCAGAAATACTTATAACGAAAACTATTCTGTTTTAAGCATTTCCGGAAATTCATGCCAGTGTACACACAGCCCTACTGTTTACTAGGCTCTTAGAAGACATTTAGGAGTAAATTAGAGCTAAATAACAGCACAGAACACAGAGCTGTGACTGATGGCTGTAAACAAACTGTATGGGACCAGAAACTTGGCCACACTCATGATAAGTGGACATATGGCTAACTAAAGTCATGCCAGACCAGCGAGTGCTGAGCTAGAGAGGTTCAACCTGTAGTATAGATGTTAGGTCCAGAGAAGAGAAACAAGAATGATTAAACGTTTAGAGAACGTTCTTATGTTCTTTATGTTCTTAGAACATGAGCTATGAAGGAAGACTGAAAGAACTGGGCTTTTTTAGGTTGGAAAGGAGAAGACTGAGAGGGGACATGATAACGGTTTTCAGGTATCTAAAAAGGTGTCACAAAGAGGAGGGAGAAAAATTGTTCTCCTTGGCCTCTGAGGTGAGGACAAGAAGCAATGGGCTTAAACTGCAACAAGACAGGTTTAGATTGGAAATCAGGGAAAACTTCCTAATTGTCAAGGTGGTTAAACACTGGAATAAATTGCCTAGGGAAGTTGTGGAACCTCCATCTCTGGAGATATTTAAGAGATGGCTAGATAAACATCTATCAGGGATGGTCTAGACAGTGCTTGGTCCTGCCATGAGGGCAGGGGACTGGATTCAATTACCTCTTTAGGTCCCTCCAGTTTACTATGATTCTGTTTTCTCTCTCTTGCTTGAAATATCTAATTTTAGCACATATGGTGTTCTTTACATAAAAGCCACGCGAAAATTTTAATATAAAATTGCATGTGTCTATGCAAACTATAATTAAACATTTATAGTACATACATATATCCATCTACCTATATATTTCTATGATGCCCATTAGTGTAAAATTTTAAGCACCTCTCAAGCATGTTAGATATTTAATGTGACTGTCATTTCTATAAAATGCCAGGATTATCATGCTTGGTACTTTATTTCAGAGCCAAGATTGTGCTTGTTCTGTTCTTTTATGTATTGTTAACTACAGGCCTGATAAAATTAATCCTTCTTCAAATTAACCCTGGGAATACTGTTTTTTCCATATTTTTTCCAGCCACAAATTCTGCTTAATTCTACAGATTAAACCTCTAAAATCTGGGACTTTCTGGTCTGGGAGGAGCATGGATATTACTGGATCAAAAAGCCCTACCTGGCCAGATTCAGGGCCTGGGCTGGCAGTGGGGAGCACAGCCCCTTTGGCAGCAGGGCCAAAGTGGTGGGTAGCACAGGAAGTGCAGCCAAAGGCATTACAGCTGGTGGCTGGGAGTGCAGCACAGCCAGAGTGGGTCGGGAGCACAGTCCTAGATGGATGGGCACAGGTGGGAGCACAGTTCCACCTTGATGAAAGGCAGTGCAACTGGCACCCAGGAATGCAGCCTTGACTTCACCTGGTTTAACACATTCGGTTCAGGTCTGTTTAGGCGGTTCTAAGGGTGCCAGACCTAGGAGATCTCACCTGTAGGTGATTTCCTAGCAGTACCAGGGCCCACTGATGGAAGGGAGGGACTGCGCCAAGGGCCCAGTGATTCAAATGGGCCTAGGTTGGTTCCCCACCACTGTTGCAACATCTGCAGGCCCTTTAAATCATTGCTAAAGCAGGGCTGGACGTGGCAGGGGGAGGAAACCATCTGAGTGATGCTGAAGGTTGGCTGCCTCAGCCCCACCCCTTCTGCCCAAGGCTCCACCCTTTCCAGGAGTGGCAAGGCTTTCAGTTTTCCTGAGCAGCAACCTACGAATTT